TCTGTGACATCTATACGTACCTGTATAGCACTACTACCGCACTGTTCCTGTATCGGTGAGCTACACACTGAACGATACTCGGAGGTCGACGACTTACGGATGGTTCGGTTGTTGTTCCTGATCTCAATATCGCGATAGCAGCGGTTGATATCAAACACAGGTACACGTGCCGGCTGAGCAGGTGCTGGTGGAACAACACGGAACTTCACTCGACTACCTTTCAGAGGAACACTGGCAATCGTAGTGGAAACAGCGTATTCACCGGCTGCAGCAGGACGACATTTAGTAACCAGATGTCCAGTACATGATTGCTGTAGGGGCTCGCACTGGACTGTCTTGCCGTCCGGATTTGTCACACAAACTCCTACATCGATCTTCCTCAGCTGGTCTTGGCTGATAGTAGCAGCATCGGAAAGTTGCTCCATCTCTATGTCGATCTCAACATCACTGCCCATCTTATGATTGCCTGAGCAACGCACTTTGTTCTTTGCTGCATCAGCACAAAGACCCGCTTTGCTAATGCCAGCCACGAGATCACGTGTGTCGCTTGCCGCAAAGACGATGCCGCTCACAACACATGCCTCAGCATCACTCTTGCCAACCTCCGCTGCACCGTTTAAGGCTGTCACTAGCCAAGACGACATGCGCACAAAATCCACACTGTCCTGGCAAGCATCCAGCATGCCTCTCACCACCTCCGTTTGTGACACACTGCCCTGCAGCCTAGCGAGTTGCTTCTCCAGAGGTCCCAGTGCCTGACTTCGAAGATCATCAAGTTCATTCAGAACACTGGTTTCACGTTTCTGAATAGCTTCTACCAGAGAACGGAAAAAAAGCACTGCCTCTTCTGATGCAAGCTCTATCTGATCATGAAGGTTACGAATGGAGGACTGTACTTTCTCAATAGAGCTCTCCAGAACGCCATCACTCTCAGACACACAGGTCAACAACAAATCATTCACTGACGCTCTCATCTTCTCTGCTGCAGCATTGATAGACACAAGATCTTGTTTGTGTGGCTCATGTTTTCCAGTACCAATGCATCGCTCACATAACAGTTTCTTACACTTTGTGCAGAACTTGGTCAGGATACTGCTTGGGTGCAGTGCACAGTGATGCTGTGATTGAGTAGCTGAAGCAGCAGTAGCGGTCTCAGCAGTCTCAGTGCCTGCTTCAGTCAATGCAAGTACCTCATGACCATGTGTAGCTCGGGAGAGCTTGTGTCCTTCAGTGTGTACACTGCACAGATGACTGCTGCATGTTGCACAGCTCGAAACGGCCACTTTTACATCCATACATTCATCACACGACACTGCAGACTTCTGCTCTGCACCAATACCCTCTACATTGGCATAACTATCTGGCAAAGACAGCATGGGGGAGCATCCAACCTGCTGCCATGGTGTTGAAGCCCTACACTTCGGACACGTAACGGAGCCATCTTCATCAACATTCTGCTCAAGGCATGACATGCACAGAGAGTGGAGGCACTGGACCAGTTTAATCCTCTTGTTTTCACAGCCACATGCTACACAGCTCACAGGAGGCATGTCTCAAGCAGGAATTATCCTCTAGTCCAACACATTCAGCTTCTCACTAATTGTTTTCTCAACAATCAAGCTGGCAAAGGGATACTGGAACCTCTCTGGAATCACAAATGCAGCACGAGGAATCTCGAGAAGAAAATAACACTCGCACCAGGCGATGGACACAGAGATAAAAGTGGTGTGTCAGTAGTAGATGGAGCGCTGCAAAGCAGTCTTGTGCAATGTAGGCTACACACACCATGTACACATGCAGACAGTTGTCCTGTCATTGGATGTACTTTTCAGAGATTGCATGACAAGCTGAGCCGGCCCCAAGGCCAGCCAAGTCTGTCATGACAGGTAGCACAGACTTTGCTGTCAATGCACCTACACCCACCCTGCACTGAACCATGACATTCCCATTCTGTTATAGTCCACCAAACACCATACAGTCGTGTACAGTGCATTGCATCACACAGCCTGTCTCTAGCACCACTACCACTGACCACCCCCCCCCCCCACCCCCCCCATTCACACAGAAATAATTACTTACTTGAAGAGCACTGAAAAGAGAGTTTCCTATGATGAAGGCAGAGACCTCCTGCAGTGAAAAACAATCAAAAGTGCCCCTTCCATATTCACCTTTGATATTTCTGACCAACCCAAGTTGCCAAAGAATGAAGCAATAAAAAAATTCCGCCGTGGGTGAACCTATCGCTGCTCAAGATAGGACTTGCACACTCTTGGTTATGTACTCTTGCCGTCTGTAAATACATGTATTTACTTAGAGACGTCTAACAGGCGTTTCTGGTGGGTGGGTTCGCCTGCAAGTCGTCGGTTCTAAAAAATTCATTTCGGAGTGCATGCAACAGGGGTGTAGCCAGAGGATAGTGATCAAGGACGGTGCCACGACTTTCCCTGCACAAAAGTACAAGCACTCAAGTGTTTGGTCTGCGATACGGCGAGAGGGGGGGGGGGGGGGAGCAAAATCAGTCGCACACTTGACGCTGAAAATCAATCAGTGATTGGCAAATATCCAAACGGGTAGTAGTAACATTTACTACTCCCTGCTTCCAACTAATCGGATGAGCTTAGTCCTGGATGCTGCTTTATCCAGAAGTATCACACTCTCCATCGAACTTGTGTCAGATTTCTCAACCCTTTTTTTTCTCTTCGTCGTGTTTGATAGTGTAGTGAGGCATCCTAGATCAACCGTACCCCATATTTCCCACAGAAAGCGCAAACTCCACTTCAACGTTACCATGATTACTTTCACTGGTCGGCTGCTGTACCAACACCTGAAACACATGAAAGAATCTTCGTTGCTTTTCCACAACCTCCAATGTGAACACCCAACCGTCAGAACTACATGCACATGTACATTGGAAAAGCTTTCTGTCTAAAGCCTTTCCATACTGGTGCTGGGTGTTTGAGTTTCATGACATGTACATGTACATGTACTTGTACTAGTACACTGTATTAGTAGTACATTCTACAAACACATAGCGCCAACAAACTGCTATGCCCTATGAGTGATGTCCATGGACTGTGTTGCTACTTCTACCCATGACGTGTTTGTGTGACTCTTTGCTTCTAACAAAACATGTGGAGTGCCATACAAATCATGTGCTGAGCTGAGTCTGCTGAGGTCTGACGTAATGCTGCACGGCAATGGAAGGGAAGCGGAGTTGCCCTTACTGGCCATAGACCGCCGGGGACTATAGATTTCATTGCAAAATGGCCAATGACCAGACAAAAATATTCAAGCGCAGTAGCACAATACCTACATGTATAATATGTACATGTAATACCTGGCTGGTCTGAACAACGTTTACCACAGTGTGCCGCATGTGCAGGGTTGCACATGTGATCAGCAGTCCCCCTATTACGGTCTCTCTCTCTCTCTCTCGAGCCAGCTGCGAAACACGATCGAAATGTTTGAGGGGGTGCTTTGGCACCCAAAGCACCCCCCTCTCCCCCCTGCCTATGCCCCTGTGTAATGATGCATACCATACCGCGCACGTACAGTCAACTTCGCTAATAACGACTGCGGATATAACGACAATTCGTGAATAACGACATAATGTTCATGCCCAGAGCAAAGTCCCATCCAACTGTGACACATAATTATAATGAGACTTCGGGTATAACTACACTTCGCGAATAAGGACAGTTTTCTGATGCCCCGCCGCGTGTGGTTATAAGCAAAGTAGACTGTACATGCACAGTGTACAGTGCATGATGTACCACTGCTACAGCTAGAGCAGATAGACATTGAGACACACTTCACTGCACACGTCACGGCAGAGTAGACAGGGTCAGGGACACATACTCTACACTGTACTCACAGAAACGACTTGTAGGTGTGATTTGGTTCGTTATTATAAACGGAAACTGTTCGCTACAAATGGTCAATTGCGTATGGGTTCAAACAGGGACATGGACAAGGGTTCGCTATATGCGCATTCGTCATAACTGAAGTCGACTGTACTGTATATGTGCGCATAGCATGGTGTTTATTATGAGTGTTATTGTCTGCATTGGGGGGGGGGGGGGGGGGCGTTTCTGGGGGTGGAAGGGTGGGTCAAGAAAGAAACGCCTGTTAGACGTCTCTAAGTAAATACATGTATTTACTTAGAGACCCCTTACAGTATGTGTACTTTTATATAGTAAAGAAAAAAAGGATCAAAAAACTACAAGTTACAGTACGCTATAATGTCCACTAACACCACCAGTTACTAAACAATCAGCTCATGTAATACACGACATTGACCGGCGGTACTGATGTTCTACAACTAACTGGCTAACAGCTCTAGCACATCTTGGATGCGCACTCCAACAGCCTTCCAACTTGGAAGGTTTGCTTTGCGTCCTATAATCGTGGTTTGACCGTATTGTCCAGTGGTCTTGCCAGTATCGTCATCGACATGCATGAACATCCGCCAACGTCCTTCACAGCTGAGACTTTCAGCTCGTGCTTATCTTGGTTGCGCTCACCTTCCCCTCCTCGTGTTATTTCTACAACTTAGAACCTTCCAAGTTGGAAGGCTGTTGGAGTGCGCATCCAAGATGTGCTAGAGCTGTGAACCAGTTAGTTGTAGAACGTCAGTACCGTCGGTCAGTGTCGTGCAATGTTATCGCATGCCCTGACTGTTAAGTAACTGGTGGTGTTAGTGGACATTATAGCGTAACTTGTAGTTTCTTGCTCCTTTTTTTTTACTTTAGCCCCCGTCCCTCACACAAACAAGTCAACAAAGCGGCATCTTTGGATTGAGGAGTGCTGGTTTCGAAACAACTGGTTTGAAGCTCAAAGTAGAGCTGCTATTAGCTCAAGGTAGAGCTGCGGTTAGCTCAAAGTAGAGCTGCTGTTAGCTCAAAGTAGAGCTGCGGTTAGCTCAAAGTAGAGCTGCGGTTAGCTCAAAGTAGAGCTGCGGTTAGCTTTAAGTAGAGCTGCTGTTAGCTCAAAGTAGAGCT